CGAGCTCAAATCAAATGTATTCAAATTGAAATAGCTCACTCATCGTCACTTGATAATTATTTTTATTCAAAACAATCTGTACTGCTTCATTACTGACTCTTGTGACAGTTGTTTCAAAAAGCTTCCACCCGTCGCTGACGATGGGAAATGACGTTTTTTGAACGAGCTTCGTAGAGACATGTGGATTTGCTTGGATTTAAGGTGTGCTCAGGTTACTTTGGTTTGGAAAATGCATATAATAATAATAATTCACTCAATGTAAAAAGAATAAACAACATGAGTAAATAAATATAAAATCAAAACAGGCCCAATAGAAGGCATTGCCTGTACATGGACCAATCATTTTAAGTTGCAACTGTAGAATTCAAATGACAAAGAAGGACTAAAATTAGCCATAGTAGATTATGTATTTACTTGATGTTCGTATTTATGAGTTTATGAATTTCAATCCTAGATATAGAATGTAGCCACATTTTTAAATTTCTTTTGATACAATTTCCGAAACGTAAATCTTTTAAGTCTTTAGGTATAATTTCATAAAATTTTGGCGCTAAATAGAGATATGACCGCTGCATTATAGATTTATGCGGCTGAGGAACTACTGTGCCACGAATTTTGTACCTTGTCTAATGATTATATTTCATTTTTTGGTCGGTGTTGACAAATCTATGGTAGTGAGTGATACTGTGTCTTATATCATACATCCATACATCTGCGTATAATTTGTCAGTGGGATAAAGTTTTGGTTTTTTGAACATCATTTTTAGAATACTTTTTTGAAAAACACCTAAATTATAGATATGTGAGGAACAGGCAGCTCCCCATGCTAAAATACCATATGTGAGATGAGGCTCAATCAGTGCATGGTAGAATGTTCGAAAATATTTTTCTGTCAATATATTCGCAAGGTATTTAATTTTGTAGGATAAAAATCTAACTTGCTTTAAAATATACTAAGTGATATATAAATACGAACACCCAGTTTAAATAGTTTTATTTTAATAAAAGTTGGTGAATGTATTTATCTTACTGTAAATAACAAGTGAAAAAATTTTCAGCCTTATCAGTTGGACATCCCGGTTTTTATACTGCTTTTTTTTAATTCACTGACGCTCTAAAAATGAATATTTCAGCCGCAGTAAAGAATCAACGTTGGCGGATTTTGGTTCTTGACATCCTTTACGATCGGTTACGATGCCTAGAGTACGGAGACCTGTACGATTTCGTCAACTTAGTGAGTTTGATAGGGGCCGTATAGTGGGACTTCGGGAAGCTGGACTTTCTTTTCGGGCAATTGCAGTTAGAGTGCAAAGAAGTGTATACACTGTGGTTAGGTGTTGTCAGGCGTGGCTTCGAGAAGGCCGTACGCAAAGAGCAAAGGGCACTGGACGCCGCCGTAGAACAACAGACCGTGAAGATCGCCGCCTAAGATTATTGGCCTTAAGGGACCGTTTCTCCACTACCAGGTCCATTGCAAATGAATGGTTTGCAGAACACGGAAGACCTATTGGCATGCGAAGTGTTTACCGACGAATGAGAAGTTTTGGCTTGTTTTCATACCGGCCACACTGGGTCCTCCCTTTAACTCGAGAACACCAACGTAATCGCCTTGAGTGGTGCAGACAACGGTCTCTCTGGGATCAGGAATGGAACAGTATTGTCTTTAGTGACGAGTCTCGATTTTGTGTAGGCATGCATGATGATCGTGCCAGGGTTAGAACGCGACGTGGTGAAAGGAGGAATTCACAGTTTTTTGTTGAAAGACATGTTCATGACACTGTTGGAGTTATGGTTTGGGGTGCTATAGCTTATGGTTCCAGGTCACCTTTAATCTTCATCAGAGGTAACATGAACGCGCAGCGTTATATCCACGAAGTTCTAGAACCCCATCTTTTACCCTATCTTGACACCCTGGCAGATCCAACTTTCCAACGAAATAATGCCCGACCACATGTTGCAAGAGTCACAATAGTCTTCTTTCAACATAATGATGTCACATTGTTACCTTGGCCACCAAGATCTCCCGACTTATCCCCAATTGAGCACGTGTGGGATATGATGGGTAGGAGATTGCTCAATTTGCAACGTCCTCCTCAGACTCTAGAAGCACTTCGAGAGGAGTTGGTGGTTGCCTGGAATGAGATACCACAGGAGGACATTGACCACCAGATCAGAAGCATGCCTAGGCGCGTTGGAGAATGCGTAGCACATCAGGGTGCATCCACAAATTATTAAAGGTCAAAGGGCTTTAAAGCAGTGCAATCATTTTGAAATTTTTATCATTCACTTATTATGCTTCATTAAGTACTTATACAAAATTTTATTAAAATAAAACCGTTTAAACTGGGTGTTCGGATTTATATGTCACTTAGTATATTTAATTTTTTGGTCGGTGTTGACAAATTTATGGTAGTGAGTGATACTGTGTCTTATATCATACATCCGTACATCTGCGTATAATTTGTCAGTGGGATAAAGTTTTGGTTTTTTGAACATCATTTTTAGAATACTTTTTTGAAAAATCCTAAATTATAGATATGTGAGGAACAGGCAGCTCCCCATGCTAAAATACCATATGTGAGATGAGGCTCAATCAGTGCATGGTAGAATGTTCGAAAATATTTTTCTGTCAGTATATTCGCAAGGTATTTAATTTTGTAGGATACACATCTCACTTTCTTTAAAATGTAATTGACATATAATATTATGCATTATTTTATATTTTACCGGTATTTCAACCCATGCCCATTACATCTAGTTTCGATTATTCTTTAGGCAGGCTTTCTTCATATTTATTACGAAATCAAAGGCATTATTGAATGTTTAAGACTCGTGTCTTGAATGATATTACATTTTAAAATTAGAAGATTTGAAGACATCAAATGCTATAGCTTGTTTTCTGATATTGATAATTGCAAAGCTGCAAATGACACTTGATTGTTACCCATATACATATTACATTAGAAGTTGAAATATTTTTTTCACAAGCAGAAACAGTTCCTTTATTTTCACATATGAATACTTCAGATGACTCAACTTGATCTATCCTTTTGCGTTTGGTTTTAAAAGTTTTCATTTACTATTGGAGGTGCTAGAAATTTCTTGTTTCGATAGACATGAATATTTGTTTAGATTTATTTATTTACTAGTATATAGACACTATCCGAACGGTTTATTACACCAATTAACGGATAGGGACACAGGAATCAATAAAATTGTTCTAAAATAACTTAAAATTGCCAATTGACTGTAATGAAAAGCCTTTTTAAGCTACGCAAATTACAAAAGAACAAATCTACAGCGTTTCGATCACGTTCTTAGTTTTTACATACTACATTATATCGGAGAGGAAAGCAACGCATTGGTTCTAGCTAAGTTTAAGTAAAAGTATTTTCAATTGGATCGCGTTTCAGCATAAGGTACATAAATAAGAATCTTACTGAGTAAATATTCATAATTTATGGCGTTATTAAGAAGTTTATATAAAAATACGCAGGCAGCGTTGTTTCTGCGCTTCTCCAAGTTACAGAGGTTATATCTGCTAAGTAATACATGCGAAACAAATGTAAGTCTGGTGTCAAATAATATACCTAAGTCATGAAACTCTTGACACATGTGAAGTTGCGAATTATCAGTGTTCTATATGAATCTGATTCGATGTCTTCGATGAAAATTTGGAGAAGCAAAGGGCCAAGAGCAGACCCTTGAGGTATGCCGGAAGAAGGTATAATCTGTATGGAAGTGAAGCCACTGTATTCAACTTTCAAGCATCTGTTTGTAAGATAAGATTTGAAAAAATTCAAGAATTGATGGGTCAACCCTTTCTTTAACAAAATACCGTGAACTAGCTTATCAAAAGCCTTTGAAAAGTCAACGTAAACAACATCTACTTGCCCCTCATCATCAACAACTTGACGGCAAAACTGCTTAAAACACGCTAGATTGGATATCTATCTTGGAAAAAACATGTTGATTTGAAGAAATTCCGTGCTTAACATGAGAGAAAATTATATTATCATGCATTATACATTCGAAAACCGTACCAACGTTGCTCTATAATTCTCAATGACACAACGTTCGCCTTTTTTAAACATGGGTGCAATCCTAGATATTTTCCAAGCCATGGGAAATGTAGTATTAAGAGATCAGCTAAAGGCTCAGCTAAAACAAAAGCACAGTCTTTTAGTAAAAATGCAGGGATTAGATCTGGAGTAGAAATAGATCGCTAAGCTTCATTTGAATTTCTCCTCCATTATTGAAACTCCATTGAATTAATTTAGAAAGTTTTATCTGCCATAGGACATTTGGGGAATCTATTATTTTTTGAGCATATTTTTTATGGGCATGAAGACTCACTGCGAATATAATTTCTGGACGATTTGAAAATTTCAATTACATTCTTCAGATAATCTTGTTTTTTCGATCTGTGCGTTTTAATAATAAACATATTACACCAATCTTCTCACAAAAATGCAACTAGAGTTTTATTAATGGTTTTGTTTGTTTAATGGTTTTGTAGTCCGTTCAGGTCTTCTATTAGCAGATTGAAAGTAGTGCTTGGAATCATCATGATGTGATCATGTTACTACAGTTCTGCATATTGATACATACTGGACTAAAGTTCGATTATTATAAATTAAAATTTCTTGGAATTACCAATGCAACGTAACAATGATTAATTCTGGAAAGGACGTCATTATTTTATGTTTTATTATATTTTTAATTATGGTTTGTTTGAATTCGCGGAATTATTTGCGGTGTTCAGTTTTCCATTAGTAGGCATTGTTTATAGTTTACAAACAACGAAATAAATCTATATATTTCAAACTTACGCATATCAGATTACATTACTGATATCCTCAAATACTTCTCCACTTATGGAACACAAAGGTCAAATTAATGGGATACATTAGCGGATAAAGCTAAAAAAGTTAAAACTTTCATTGTTCTTAAATATAAATCCTTATTTTCTCTTGACTTATAATAATTATCTAAGAAACTCAGGGTAATTCAACATTAGCTGTGAAAATTACCCCTTGATTAGCCCTATGATTAGGTTGGCTTATATTGGCCTTTTGCTGAAGGAACATAAATTAATTTAAAACGTAATCTGAGATGAGGATATTGGAAGTGGAGGTAGCTTTGAGGACCAATCTTTGCAACAATTGATTTGCTTGGATTGATTGTAATACGGGCTTTGGATTTGGATTCGGTACATTATTTTGTTACATATATGATAGCTATCAGCATATTGAGTATCGGATAGATATCTTCCCTGGCGTAGTCTAATCACTGGCCGGCATTGTGCTTATTTATCATATGGTAGAATACGCATACCTCATTCTTATGCATATTGGAGTAATATTGTTATACAGCGATACGGACACGTGATTTGACTGATATACTTGGACGCCTCTTCAGTCGGCGCTGCAAAAGAAAAAATTGGAGACGTAAATGACATCTGAAATTGAAAATTCCGTAGTTGCAAGTTTTAATACCTTCATGAAATCGACGGCATTATTAAGAGTGAAATCTTTATCCATGCACCACAATTTTTCCGGAAATTATCGTGTGATAAGCTTCATTATTCATTTGGTTTATTCTAGGCTATCATCTTAAGAACATAAATTGATCATTTCATAGCAGCCGATATTTCAGATATTGTAGCTTAATTTATGGGCCATGTTTGACTAGTGCTAATATAACAAAACTACAACGGGCTCAAAATAGCTGCTGTAGGTGGGTTATATGGAATCATCCCTATATCACACAAAATCAAAGAGAGCGAATCGCTTAACATGAATACTAATAAAGCCTAAATGTTCTACTGGCTTGGATTTCATAGCTTCTTTTTTTCTAAAAGGCTGTGCGTGTGTTCTTGCTGAGCCTTTGACATATCTTTTCAATTTGTCCTTGAAATCTGCCACCGTTCCTAGAAAATGGAAATTGTCTAAAATATCACCTGTTTTTAAGAAAGGCGATCGATCGCAGGCGGAGAATTACAGGGCTATTATTATTTTAATATTGCCAAAATTTATGAGTTTCTTCTTTTTGATATTTTGTTCTCTCATGTAAGTCGGTCAATATCGACGAGTCAACATGGTTTCTATAAGGGTAGATCTACGTGTAGTAATCTGGCATGTTTTAAGCAGTACTCCGCGTCAGTTCTGAATAATGACGGGCAAGTTGATGTAGCCTTTACTGACTTTTCGAAAGCTTTCGACCGTTTGGATCACGGTGTTCTACTGCAGAAGTTGTCTAAGTACGGTTTAACATCTAGATTCTTAGCTTTCTTTCATTCATACATCAGAGATAGACAATTATGTGTTGACTTCCGTGGATATAAGTCTGGTGCGGTTTTAGCTGCATCAGGGGTGCCCCAAGGTTCTGTTTCGGGTCTTCTATTATTTTTAATTTTTGTCAATGATGTCACAACAGACTTGCGTTGTGAGTACCTGCTATATGCCGATGACCTCAAAATCTTTAATAGCGTGTGTTGCTTAGAAGACAGTTTAAGGTTACAGGCTGATTTGAATGTCATTGATCACTGGTGTAAAGCAAATAACATGCACTTGACTGTAGATAAATGTACTACTATGACGTTTACACTCAGGGCGGAACCGACATGTTTTAATTTTGAAATCGGTTGCAAAACCTTGGACATAAGAGTGATTCTGATGGTTCATTGTTTGTTTACTTTATTTGGTTATAAAAAATTTCTCAATATTGGCCAAATATATATTTTTCATGATAAATGGTCTACCTCGTATCCATACCATTTCTTGGGATAAAAAAGTGGCCACAGAAGACGTGGTTAGAAAATAGTGGGCTGTCATCATGTGTTAAGTTACACAATATTTCAGAGTAAAATTTCATCTCCCTAGATGAAACAATGAAATACAAAATTACTATTTGTCGCATCAGACAAAAGATCTGGCATGCAACACATTAGTCATCTCCATCTGTGAATGGCCAAATCCTACAAAGAACCCATTCGTCTCGGCTTGGGCCCACTGAACCCAAACTAAATGTTAGCTAATTTTTATATTTATTTGTTATTAGTTATGTAAAAATGAAGCAAAGACTAAATCCAAATAAGATATGGATGAACTTGAAAACTGGTGAAAATGTCCAGAACATGTTACTTCTATATGATTGTAGTATTTATATAAATGCAGTTACTTTACTTTTACGAGAATATAATATTTACATATCAGTGACAGTTTCGTTATTTCATATTTATTCCGAAATTACGTAACATTTATATTCAAGAATTGATACATCAGCCATTTATTCCATTCCATTCAACTGGCCAATAAATAAGGCCACAGAACTGATGATAGAAAAGTTTACGAACGATTCGGCTACCTCGGAAGTCTTCTTCAAAATACAAAATTTGAAAAATTTAGAAGGATCTTCTTCTGGAAAATTTTCTTCCAGAAGATATTCCTTCCATATTTTATTAATTGGATTAAAAAAAGAGTAGCGAGGTATCCGAAACGTTAGTTAACGTTTTCATCATCAATTCAGTGGTATTATTTATAGACCACTTGAATGAAATATGATTAGCAGATAATCACAGGTTAAGTATCGGGAACAACAGTATTAACAATTTACTTAAAAACTTGTAAACAAACTGTGTCATAAATTTCCGTAAATAGAAATTACTTTTGTGATAGCGTTATATGCTGCATGTCATGTGTTGATTTGTGTATACTAAGTGACATATAAATCCGAACACCCAGTTTAAATGGTTTTATTTTAATAAAATTTTGTATAAGTACTTAATGAAGCATAATAAGTAAATGATAAAAATTTCAAAATGATTGCACTGCTTTAAAGCCCTTTGACCTTTAATAATGTGTGGATGCACCCTGATGTGCTACGCATTCTCCAACTCGCCTAGGCATGCTTCTGATCAGGTGGTCAATGTCCTCCTGTGGTATCTCATTCCAGGCAACCACCAACTCCTCTCGAAGTGCTTCTAGAGTCTGAGGAGGACGTTGCAAATTGAGCAATCTCCTACCCATCATATCCCACACGTGATCAATTAGGGATAAGTCGGGAGATCTTGGTGGCAATGGTAACAATGTGACATCATTATGTTGAAAGAAGTCTATTGTGACTCTTGCAACATGTGGTCGGGCATTATCTTGTTGGAAAGTTGGATCTGCCAGGGTGTCAAGATAGGGTAAAAGATGGGGTTCTAGAACTTCGTGGATGTAACGCTGCGCGTTCATGTTACCTCTGATGAAGATTAAAGGTGACCTGGAACCATAAGCTATAGCACCCCAAACCATAACTCCAACAGTGTGATGAACATATCTTTCAACAAAAAACAGTGGATTCCTCCTTTCACCACGTCGCCTTCTAACCCTGGCACGACCATCTTGCATGCCGAAACAAAATCGAGACTCGTCACTAAAGACAATACTGTTCCATTCCTGATCCCAGAGTGACCGTTGTCTGCACCACTCAAGGCGATTACGTCGGTGTTCTCGAGTTAAAGGGAGGACCCAGTGTGGCCGGTATGAAAACAAGCCAAAACTTCTCATTCGTCGGTAAACACTTCGCATGCCAATAGGTCTTCTGCAAACCATTCATTTACAATGGACCTGGTAGTGGAGAAACGGTGCCTTAAGGCCAATAATCTTAGGCGGCGATCTTCACGGTCTGTTGTTCTACGGCGGCGTCCAGTGCCCCTTGCTCTTTGCGTACGGCGTTCTCGAAGCCATGCCTGACAACACCTAACCACAGTGTCTACACTTCTTTGCACTCTAACTGCAATTGCCCGAAAAGAAAGTCCAGCTTCCCGAAGTCCCACTATACGGCCCCTATCAAACTCACTAAGTTGACGAAATCGTACAGGTCTCCGTACTCTAGGCATCGTAACCGATCGTAAAGGATGTCAAGAACCAAAATCCGCCAACGTTGATTCTTTACTGCGGCTGAAATATTCATTTTTAGATCGTTAGTGAATTAAAAAAAAGCAGTATAAAAACCGGAATGTAAAATAAAACCATTTAAACTGGGTGTTCGGATTTATATGTCACTTAGTATATAATAAAGGTAGATTCACCAAGATCCACATTAGTAACCTGAATGAGTGGAAATTTATTGCACAGCAGTTTCAAACAAAATAATATATGCATAGTAAATTCTGTGAAGTTCAGACAATTCATGTTTTTAGTCAAACAAAAAATTTCCGGATACATGAATATATATTCCAATATATTTATTAATACGGAAAATAGTATCATTATTTATACAACTCAATCAAGCTGCCAGATTCAGCTTTATTATCTGGTAACTCAGCCAGAGCCCCTCACTGATAGCATTTTCACAATGTACTTATTGGTACGTATTCCTGATTATATGGTATCTGGAATCAATCGAAACAAAATCAAACAAATACAATATGGTTTGAAATGTTATGATATAAAACAAATTTTTCATAGGATATGTTAGTATCCGGACCTCAAAGCCATACTAGGTTAAGTCCAAATAAGTAGTTTTGAAATAATTGCAATTGGAATATTCATCTTCTATTGTATGTGAGTTGATCTATAAAGTCGTAACTTGCTTATTTTTACAGGTAGGTGGACGCTGTAAGCAGCAAATAAGAACTCAAAATATTAACACAAACTTAACACATAAAACTTATTTTAGGAAAAATGGACTAGTATGGCTCTAAGGTACAGACTTAAAATCAATTGACATACCTAGCTAGGCTTTCATGAAGTTGAGGTGTACAACGCAAAAGTTGTTTCTATGAGCAACCAAGGAACAAGTTCTCGATTCATCGGTGAATATGGCTGTTTCCAAAGTAGTCTACGTCTTTGCCTCCTATAGATTTGATGAAGTTTACCTGAAAGTTGTTAGTCGAGTGTGGGGTGTTACACAATATTACATATATTCTGCAAACATCTACAATGATTGAGTAACCAAAGGTTGGAGTTCAGGCTGCTTTGATACAGCATACAGCTTATGATTTGATATAGAAACAACAAACTCTACTATTAATTATGATAATATATAATGCTTATGCCGTATAATTGTGACTCAAGTAAAGTATTTTTAGTATCCCTACCTGTTCGTATAGTGATTCAAGTATATTCTTTACCATCTTTTACACCTAAAACTTCGCACTACTCACTAATATACCTTTTTCGCCAAATGACCACGCGGAAGAGGACGACCTCAAGTTTTAGGTTAGAAACACAAAATATATACACTATTTATGTAACAAAAAAATGTTAATATTATATAACATGTCCTACATAATCCTTACATCCTAACTAAGTTACCGGACTCAGCAACATAAAGATTATATAAATGTGACATCATCCATTCAGGTCTACATAATATCAATATAACAAAAAACATATAAATTGTAGGGTATACGTTTTATACAAATGTGATGTTCATGTAACACGCGTGTTTAGTGGGGGTTGAGTTCATCAAGGATTTGAATTAGTGCGACAGCTGTTTGAAAGGAGGTACATCTGTTCAGCACCAATAGTAGTAATTTTCTTCACATTACCTTCTCACTCTGTACAAGGTCCCGAGGTAGGATCCGGTCTGGAATACTCACATGTCTAGAGTTCTGCCGCTTTGCCTACACTGTCCATACTTGATGGTGTTCACTGATCAGTAAGATTTCGCTGACGGACTACCTTAAGCCTCTCTCACACCGACCGGAGGTCGCTGACTGAAATTTTAACTTTTTTTTGTGTCAAGGTTGTGTAACCATCTGGAGGATGTTTTCCCCACTTTACTAATCTTAGGCAGTTCAAAAATCGGATCAACCAAACACCTCCTTACTTTCGTTTATTCGAGGTGGTACCATGCTCTGTTTATACATAGGTTGATAACTAACAAGGTTTTAGTAGAAATGTTAAACCAATGTAATTCAGTCAGTTGGTGGAGAACCTATTAATCATTCTTCTGAAAGAATTCCGGTTTTTATACTGCTTTTTTTTAATTCACTAACGCTCTAAAACTGAATATTTCAGCCGCAGTAAAGAATCAACGTTGGCGGATTTTGGTTCTTGACATCCTTTACGATCGGTTACGATGCCTAGAGTACGGAGACCTGTACGATTTCGTCAACTTAGTGAGTTTGATAGGGGCCGTATAGTGGGACTTCGGGAAGCTGGACTTTCTTTTCGGGCAATTGCAGTTAGAGTCCAAAGAAGTGTAGACGCTGTGGTTAGGTGTTGTCAGGCATGCCTTCGAGAAGGTCGTACGCAATGAGCAAGGGGCACTGGACGCCGCCGTAGAACAACAGACCGTGAAGATCGCCGCCTAAGATTATTGGCCTTAAGGGAACGTTTCTCCACTACCAGGTCCATTGCAAATGAATGGTTTGCAGAACACGGAAGACCTATTGGCATGCGAAGTGTTTACCGACGAATGAGAAGTTTTGGCTTGTTTTCATACCGGCCACACTGGGTCCTCCCTTTAACTCGAGAACACCGACGTAATCGCCTTGAGTGGTGCAGACAACGGTCACTCTGGGATCAGGAATGGAACAGTATTGTCTTTAGTGATGAGTCTCGATTTTGTTTAGGCATGCACGATGGTCGTACCAGGGTTAGAAGGCGACGTGGTGAAAGGAGGAATCCACAGTTTTTTGTTGAAAGACATGTTCATCACACTGTTGGAGTTATGGTTTGGGGTGCTATAGCTTATGGTTCCAGGTCACCTTTAATCTTCATCAGAGGTAACATGAACGCGCAGCGTTATATCCACGAAGTTCTAGAACTCCATCTTTTACCCTATCTTGACACCCTGGCAGATCCAACTTTCCAACAAGATAATGCCCGTCCACATGTTGCAAGAGTCACAATAGACTTCTTTCAACATAATGATGTCACATTGTTACCATGGCCACCAAGATCTCCCGACTTATCCCCAATTGAGCACGTGTGGGATATGATGGGTAGGAGATTGCTCAATTTGCAACGTCCTCCTCAGACTCTAGAAGCACTTCGAGAGGAGTTGGTGGTTGCCTGGAATGAGATACCACAGGAGGACATTGACCACCTGATCAGAAGCATGCCTAGGCGCGTTGGAGAATGCGTAGCACATCAGTGCAGTGCAATTATTTTGAAATTTTTATCATTTACTTATTATGCTTCATTAAGTACTTATACAAAAGTTTATTAAAATGAAACCATTTAAACTGGGTGTTCAGATTTATATGTCACTTAGTATAATTGTGACGTCCATGGTAACCTTTATACAACAAACCGGAGCCTTGTGAAAAATTATTACTTCAGCGAACAAGTTGCTCCCACTGGAGTCATTTATACAACTGTCGTTTAGGAACTGTTAAAGTAGAAAGTTAACCATGTATTCAGTTGTTGGAGAACTCTATTTAATCATTCTATCTGAAGATATCCAACCTAACGTTATATTCGTGCATCCCAAAAATTATTCGAGATGAAGTTAGATACCGTTGAGTCATCTACGAGAATTTCTCATAGCTCATATACAGGGCCAATATTTCTAGGGACGGAGAAAGTGATGGCAAGTAGGAAATATTTTCTACGCCATCGGCCTTTTCGGAGAAAAGATGATAGTGCATTTTAGAAAATACCACTCAATTTTCCATAAATTTTGTCTGATACTCGTTTTGGAGATATTTAGGTTTGAATATCTGAGGTATTCTTATAAAAAGGTTTAGCCTCCCTTAGTATGAAAGCGTGAAGCTTGATGTTGGAAACATTATATGGCACCTCATTGATTGAATAATATTCGTGTCTCATCCTCAATCAGTAACGTGGAAGCTTACCATTCATTATACCTTGTCTGTGCACTCCACTGGTTTTCATGGTATATTTCTCCTGTTTCTCTAAAATCACATAATTGTGCAACCAATCAATTTGAGTAAAATTCTTATTACTTTACGTCTTATACAGGGTGTTTAGAAGGTCGATACAAAGTCTTGGGGAGGTGATAGAATCTTTCAAGCCAAAAATGCCTTAGTTCAAGGTCTTACGGTTTTCGAGTTATTCGAGATTTCCGATTTTTATTGAAAAAAAATATGCCTTTTGTTCCTGTTATCACTGAAAGAACATCAGGTTATATGAAATAGTTTTTAAATATCTGACAATGTGGTTTTGTTCTCCGAAGGTAGAGAAAAGAAAAACAAATTGGCTGTAAACAAATAATAAATACAGGTTTTCCTATTTTTGTGATATTGATAAGAAAGAACGTGTTTGCGTGCATGATAAAACTAATTTCCACACATTTTTGCTTTATTTCTTTCCAAACAAGTAAATAGTAATTCATGAATTTCAGTTCAAAAACCCTCAATTAATTAGTTTGTAAAATGGCCGCTTTCACTAACGAAGAATACGGTGATAGCGTTTACATGTATAACAGAGCAGATGGTAATGGACTAGAAGCACGATGGTTGTACCAAGAGCGATTTCCTGGAAGAATATTGCCTAATGTCACAGTGTTTCACAATACTTACCGACGTCTTTACGAGACTGGAAGTGTAACACGCAATGAACCTGGTGTTAATCCAGGCCGATATCCTCCTGAAGCTGAAGATCTAATCCAAGCGTTTGAAAATCATCCCTCTACAAGTACTAGGAAAGTTGCTGTTGATCTTGGTTTATCGCCGTGGAAGGTTTGGAGTATCATGCACCGTGAACGAAAATATCCTTTCATGGTATCGGCGTACAAGGACTTGAAGATGGTGATCTTATTCGCGGAAGCCAATTTTGTCGTTTTCTCTTACATAGTGGCATTGAGAATGAACGGTTCCTGGAAAGCATTCTATGGACGGATGAATCCAATTTTTCGAAGGACGGCATTACAAATTTTTCACATATTGCATCAATGGGCTGATGAGCAAGAAAATCCACACTGGAAAAAACAGGTGTATTTCCAGCACACATTTTCCGTTAATGTATGGGCTGCTGTCATGGGACAAATATTAATCGGTCCTTAATTTTTGCCTGAAAGATTAAACGGCGACAGTTATCTACACTTTTTGGAAAATGATCTTCCCGAATTACTTGTAGGAGTAGAAATTCCAGATGGCATGCAAATTGTTTTCCAACACGACGTATTTCCAGCTCATTTCCGTTTAGACTAAGACAATATTTGGACGATACTTTTCCAAATAGCTGGATAGGCAGAGGTGGACCAATTCCGTGGCCTGCTAGATCCCCGGGATTGACGCCATTGGATTTCTATGTCTGGGAGCGGGCTAAACAGTCAGTTTACACTGAAGAAATCGTATCAAGAGACCATTTAATAAAAAAAAATCGAGAAGCTTTTTATTTAATGCAGCAAGACAGATTTTATTAAATACAACTACTATCCAAGTAACTCGTAGAGCTCGAGCATGTATTAGAAACAATGGTTCTTACTTTGAACACCAATAAAGCATGTTTCAATAGTTCATTTTGTTTCGTTTACTAATGTATGATTTAAATTTGGAAATCCGAATACCTCGAAAACCGTAAGACTCTAAGTGGTCTGCTCTATCCCCTCCCCAAGACTTTGTATCGACCTTCCAAATACCATGTGTTTATCGGCCTTTCTCTTAAAATTCTTTATCATTTTGCATTACGTGAACCCCACAAAGATGTGGTGGTTACTTTCAACACCTCCTTTAGGTGGCATGTTCTAGCATTTATTCAGCATTATTTTTTGTACCCAATGTTATGTCCTCATAAATTTGAAAATAGCCACTAAGTTGCATTGTTGTCGTGTCTGATTCTTATTAACTTTATTTTTAAATTAACGTTTTCTTTGTATTGAAGTTTATCTATACACAAAAATGAATATGCCGGCAAAACCAGTGGCGTACTGATTGAAGATAAGACACGCATATTCTTCGATAAATGTTGTAATGAGGTGCCATAATTTTCTTCACATGCTTCCAATATCAAGCGTCACGGTGTTTTCAGAACAGGGGAGACTAAACCTTCTCATGAGAATATTTTAGGATTTTACCTCAAATATTCAAACTTAGATATCTCAAAACCGAGTGATTTCACAAAAACTCTTTAGGGGACAAAATTTATGGAAAATTGAATTATTATAAAATGCACGTCTTTTCTCCGAAAAGGTCAGTGTCGTAAAAAAATTCCCTATTAGGGATAGAGGTATCTCAGCTTCTATACCACTGGTTTAGTTTGGACTGGGAAACTATGTGCATACTACTGATAATGTGCTCACTGAACGTCCAAAATCCTAAGTCGGTATCTTTACCGGCTCCGTATATAATTTTTTATAAATTTCGTAAATGAAACTTCATCACCCAGTAGGGGGACATCTTTGGACCCATATTTCTAGGAATATTTTTTGATGTATTTTCTACCCTAGAAGTTGGATACAGCGCTATGAGACATCAACCTTTTCAAAGCAGATTTCTAATTACAGCTGTGATAAATTCTCATATCTCTATGGCATCTAATTTCATCTCAGATAATTTTGAGAACGTGCGAGTATAGTAATAGGTTGTCTGTCTTCAGAGAGAGAACGTTAATCAATGATTTAATGTAAAGCGCTTTTGATTCGCAAATTATCACCTATTTGATATGAGTTTGGTTTGCTCCGAGTGGCTGTGTAGCAATTATTTGTATTCCATTTCAGCATACTGATGGATAAAACTTCATTTCATTACCTCATTCAACACGGCATGATTAATATTTTATACGTAATGAAATTAACATGTAAGAGTCAGATCATTATATTAACATATATACATTACTTTATACATTTACCCAGAGTCCTTTTCATTAAAAGCAATGATGAAAAGTATTTCCACGAAATACATTTCACTCTGATATGTTTCTCTATTATCGGACTGGGAAACTAACGAGTTTCGTTTATGGAAAATTATCTTTCTCACAAAACTTCAATCATAACAAAGTATGACCTCTGCTCGTTGGCTGGGTACTCCTGGCAAATTACTGTTTGAGGTAGGAGCTTTCTTCATTAGACCTTGTATAACAAGAATATCAATATTTGCCACTCTGTCCAAATACTTAACCTGGTTAAACAATATAAAATTAAGGAAACCCGAATTTTTCTCTCACATTTTGTGATATCTCTTGGAAACTATCGCCTTCAGAGCAAAAGTCAGCAGGACCTTTTTACTTATTTTGAACAAAGACGTAATGAATAAAAAATGCAAGCAAAAATTTAATATATTTTGTTTTTATTGTCTTAATTATCGCAGCTCCTTATAGTTCCAAAGTGTTTTGTATTGTTATAGTGAATTAAAAATGGCAGCTAGATACGTCGAATAAATGTTGAAAAACAGTTTGCTGTTTCCAAACAAATGTTCTGCTGCTGTTTTTATCATATTTTCTTAGGGCCCTGTCGTCAATTTTCACTATCAAAAATCATACATTCATTGCGGTACTTCCACAGGGTGGTCCTAACGTGTATGGAGGGAGCTTTGGTCCCAGACCTTTGGAAGAACAATGTTCATAGATTCTAAAGCACGGTAGTAGGAAATGTTTTGTTACATATTTGGATATCCCCTCTTAGAAGAAAAATATTGCAGGAACATACTTATAGGTTTAGAAGATTACTTTGAGAGCTATTACGAATTTTGCCTGAAAAAATACTAAAGCTTCACAGACCACATCTTTCCGGTAACGATAAATAAACGAAATATTTGTTTTGACGTCAAACATTTTCTTTTATTCTCACTTTAAGCCTATGTTTTTAATTTTTAAAATATTCCACTTGATTAACACAGGGTGGTCGAAAACTCGAAGAACTATTCCTTATTTTACAAAATTTTATATAAAATTATTTATTATTTATCTTATTTAATTCGATAAGTCAAAATATACGGCATGGACGAAGTACCACCTAATTCCAGAGGACAGCACTCCAATGTGAGAAAGTTTATTGATCATTCTACATACAGGGTGATTCACAAGTTATGACCAAAAATAAAACATCATACACAGGACCGCATTTTCTTCTTCTATGTAACATTTTTCCCTCGAGCGTGTTGAAGTTTAAAATTAAAAAACAATTTTTTTAATATATTCAAAACCGTCGACTCGAATGAACTAAGATTTGGTATGTGGATTAAGTATTGTCCACGTTCAAAAGTCTTTACTTAAAATGAACGTCCACCAGTGGCGGAGATGCAGGGGATTAGTGTTCCTTTTTAAAACAAAGTACATTTAAGTTTTTGACCACTGTGTGGTAATCAATCAGGATATCAAAAAATGAAGCTAAGCTTAAACAGGATAAAAAATGTTATCCTTGTTGGGCAGATGTGGTCTGCTACATTTTAGTTTTTTAAATGTATTTTTCATCTATTCTTTACCCCTCGCCAGACTGGCGCATATTGATATTCCTGTTATACACGCTGGCCAGAAACCATCTCCAATTAGAAAGCTCTGCTCTGCTACTTCAGAAAACATCCACTTACGAAGCTTTTTAGTCGTAATCCGCCTTGACTAAGGGTCCTTTCAAAGAGTTTGTATTCTACTTAAATTGATACAGGAATCTGACGTAATTACGAGCTCTCCTGCTTTATTTGTCGATCTCACAAAATTCTGCGAAGGAAGGGATATTTTTGTTTCCATTCACCGGTGGGAAAAACACCTAGCGGGCCCTTTTGTTAAAACGGTCTTTGCACGATCTCACATCTACTGGTTTCAAAATTTCAATTACAGACTATAGAATTCGTATATCTGTAATATCCCAGTGCACTGCAGAAAAAATGCGCATATGTACATACATTGTGACGCAAAATGAACGTTACGGTTTAAATTATTTATAAGGTGTCTGATTTTAAAATTTAGTAGAGAAGTCTTGGAGAATTTGATATGAGGCAATTCACCACGGATCAAAGGATCCAAACGGACGTATTTTATTTTCAAAGTCCAAGGTCTGATGTTTAACCTCAATTTGCATATTATTGCAACTTCAGTTTAAGGTTTGGGAACATTCAGTACAAGACAATGTAGGACCTTTGTAGTGCTGAAAGGAAACGGAAACGGGAACATTCACGTAAAAGTTAATAAGGAAGTCTTGTTTCCATTACTAGTCCTCAAAATCGAATAGTGCAGCAGCATATTTTCATCAGAGTTGTGGAAAACTTTCCAAACTTGAAGTTTGAAGAATATGAAACTACAGTACACACTTCCAGAGCGTAGTCAGCGGTTCTGATGGGGTAGCTTTTGAAGACCACATTATATTAAATGAATATATTTTGTATTAATCAGCCAAGAAACGCTGCCTACTCGAGAGATACAGCACTGTACTTTGACGAACAAGATGCGTCCGTGCGCTTATCCGGTTTCGATGGATGACCGAGCCATTCATTTTGGTTGGTCTGAGTCCAGATTAATGAGCGCTTGATCTGCGCCAGCTGCTGATAAATAGCTAGGCTATTTGTTTAGACCTAAAAAGCTGCTCATGACCTCCTCACTCTGCACAAGGCCCAGATAAGACCTAGCCTCGAATACTGCTCACATGTTTGAGATGTTGCTGCCCCGACTACTTTATTCATGCTCGATGTTGTTCAGAGCAGGGCTGTGAGACTGATCGATGACGGTTCTCTAAAGAACAGTCTCGGGACCTAATAGCACCGGCGGGCCGTCCTTGATCTACCTCTCCTCTACCGGTTTAGCGCTCGTCTACCGCTACGCCAGCGGGCTTTGCTCCTCAGACCTATCCTCCATGATGCCATCGCGCGATGAGCCTGCAAGACAGACCCGCGTGACGTCGGCCTCATATCCTAACCGTGTCGAACTTCGTATATTCAGAACTGGCCGATACGACCGCTCCTATGTCCCTAGGGTAGCGAGATTCCGGAACAATCTACATGAGGAGGCTCTGCCCAGCTGTACTATCCTTGGGCAGTTCAAAAATTAAATTAACAACGTTTCTTTGAGCTCCTCATAGCAGCCGCGGTGCCCTGGCATTTGAGCTTCTGGAGTCCCAAAGCCCAAAATCTCGCGGAAAACTATGAAAAACAAAGAGCACGTCTTGAAGAAGCATACTGTGGCCGACATTTGCGAGTCATCTTTGTAACCGAATTTCCCATTACTATAGCGTATTTAAAAAAAAAATGTTTTAGTTTTTGCTTAAATAACCATTTCATTTTGCGTCGCCATTTATTATTGAGAGTAATAGCGGATCTGTAAGAGCTAATGAACATATCAGAACTATTTTAGAGAAAACATCGATTGTTATTTGTGGTCACGCTGGAGCGTGTTGAGTCATTGCTGAGAAGTAGTTTTGTCGAAGATGTTTAGATGTGCTTCTCCACCTTGGATAGCTTTGATTCCGAATCCGCTCTTATCATAGGCTTTATTGGTAATGTCCAAAATTAGTTATTGTGATTTAGTCTATCTTCGATTCTTACACTCAATATATACTAAGTGACATATAAATCCGAACACCCAGTTTAAATGGTTTTATTTTAATAAAATTTTAATAAGTAAATGATAAAAATTTCAAAATGATTGCACTGCTTTAAAGCCCTTTGACCTTTAATAATGTGTGGATGCACCCTGATGTGCTACGCATACTCCAACGCGCCTAGGCATGCTTCTGATCAGGTGGCCAATGTCCTCCTGTGGTATCTCATTCCAGGCAACCACCAACTCCTCTCGAAGTGCTTCTAGAGTCTGAGGAGGACGTTGCAAATTGAGCAATCTCCTACCCATCATATCCCACACGTGCTCAATTGGGGATAAGTCGGGAGATCTTGGTGGCCATGGTAACAATGTGACATCATTATGTTGAAAGAAGTCTTTTGTGACTCTTGCAACATGTGGTCGGGCATTATCTTGTTGGAAAGTTGGATCTGCCAGGGTGTCAAGATAGGGTAAAACATGGGGTTCTAGAACTTCGTGGATATAACGCTGCGCATTCATGTTACCTCTGATGAAGATTAAAGGTGACCTGGAACCATAAGCTATAGCACCCCAAACCATAACTCCAACAGTGTGATGAACATGTCTTTCAACAAAAAACTGAGGATTCATCCTTTCACCATGTCGCATTCTAACCCTGGTACGACCATCGTGCATGCCTAAACAAAATCGAGACTCGTCACTAAAGACAATACTGTTCCATTCCTGATCCCAGAGTGACCGTTGTCTGCACCACTCAAGGCGATTACGTCGGTGTTCTCGAGTTAAAGGGAGGACCCAGTGTGGCCGGTATGAAAACAAGCCAAAACTTCTCATTCGTCGGTAAACACTTCGCATGCCAATAGGTCTTCCGTGTTCTGCAAACCATTCATTTGCAATGGACCTGGTAGTGGAGAAACGGTCCCTTAAGGCCAATAATCTTAGGCGGCGATCTTCACGGTCTGTTGTTCTACGGCGGCGTCCACTGCCCCTTGCTGTTTGCGTACGGCGTTCTCGAAGCCATGCCTGACAACACCTAACCACAGTGTCTACACTTCTTTGCACTCTAACTGCAATTGCCCGAAAAGAAAGTCCAGCTTCCCGAAGTCCCACTATAGGGCCCCTATCAAACTCACTAAGTTGACGAAATCGTACAAGTCTCCGTACTCTAGGCATCGTAACCGATCGTAAAGGATGTCAAGAACCAAAATCCGCCAACGTTGATTCTTTACTCTGAAATTTCCTACAGTTTAAAAAGAAAACATATCTTCACAATAGGAGAGCGCCGACGCTGACACGGGACAAGTATAATCTAGACATTTTTGGAGAGAGAGTAGGATGACAATCAAGGAGGCCATAAACGCGCCCTACAATTGTAGGGACGACTGACGATACGGGCCTTAGTGACTGGATGTAGGCATGGGAATGAATTCATCTCGGGACCAAGTCCAAATAAGACTGCGAAACTACTCTTAATGAGTAGAAACCAACTACACTGAGTTACAGGGCCTCTAATAGGGCACAATGGCCTGAAAGAACACCTGAGCAAAATAGAGCTGTACGATGGAGACCTTAGCTACATCAAAAAACCATCAACTCTTCGGGAAACCAAAACTTGAACCGAGGGAGTTTAGAATAGTACCGGCAGGAAAACTGT